AACATCTACAGGTACACACAAACATCTGCAGGTACACACAAACATCTGCAGGTACACACAAACATCTGGAGGTACACACATGCACGCAAACACCTGCAGGTACGCACATGCACGCAAACATCTGCAGGTACACACATGCACGCAAACATCTGCAGGTACACAAAAACATCTGCAGGTACAACAAACATCTGCAGGTACACACAAACATCTGCATGTACAAACAAACATCTGCAGGTACACACAAACATCTGCAGGTACACACAAACATCTGCAGGTACACACATCTGCAGGTACAACAAACATCTGCAGGTACAAACAAACATCTGCAGGTACAACAAACATCTGCAGGTACAACAAACATCTGCAGGTACAAACAAACATCTGCAGGTACACACAAACATCTGCAGGTACACACATCTGCAGGTACACACATCTGCAGGTACACACAAACATCTGCAGGTACAAACAAACATCTGCAGGTACACACATACACACAAACATCTGCAGATACACACAAACATCTGCAGATACACACAAACATCTGCAGGTACAACAAACATCTGCAGGTACCAACAAACATCTGCAGGTACAAACAAACATCTGCAGGTACAAACAAACATCTGCAGGTACACACAAACATCTGCAGATACACACAAACATCTGCAGATACACACATACACACAAACATCTGCAGATACACACATACACACAAACATCTGCAGATACACACAAACATCTGCAGGTACATCAAACATCTGCAGGTACAAACAAACATCTGCAGGTACAACAAACATCTGCAGGTACAACAAACATCTGCAGGTACACACAAACATCTGCAGGTACACACAAACATCTGCAGGTACACAAATCTGCAGGTACACCCAAACATCTGCAGGAACAACAAACATCTGCAGGTACAAACAAACATCTGCAGGTACACACAAACCTCTGCAGGTACACACATACACACAAACATCTGCAGATACACACAAACATCTGCAGGTACAACAAACATCTGCAGGT